ATCTCCTTCCACATTCCTACAGCCTCTGTACCTTCTGGTTACACAGCGGGACTAGGGAAACAATTGGTCATGATAGCCCAAATATTACACAGCTGTATGGCCTGAAAGGAGAAAGGGAGGGGGAAAAAAAATCTTTGTATCCTCCTTCCCTGAAGAGCCTGCTGGATAGGAGCAGGTGGGACCTGAAGCTGATTGGTTGTCTGTGGGACTTCTCAAAGGGAGCCTTGAGTAGTAGTTTGTTGAGTGTAAAAGGACCTAGAGCAGCAGTTCCCAACCTGTGAGTTGCAACCACGTTGGGGGTCACATATCAAATATCCTGCATATCAGATGATTCGTAACAATTACAGTTATGAAGTGGCAACAACAAAATGTTATGGTTGGGGTCACCACAACATGAGTAACTATTGGGAAGTTTGAGAACCACTGACCTAGATTGTTGTAATTAAGCAGGAAAGAAATTGGTGGAGTGGATGGGGTTATGCAGGGTGGCAAAAGGACATTTAATTCATGGGTCAGTTTCCTCCCATGTAGATGGCCATGGTAGAAACTCTCTTTCCCCTTCATATACGTTCTGGAAGATTTGCTTTGTGTCCTGGGGCCTTATGTAACTTTGGATCCTGGGTCATATGGAAAAGAATGGCCTGAACCCTGTGTCATCAAGGAAGAAGAACCTAGAAATGTGGCAAATTCCATGCCAGCAGATGGTGAGGCTCAAAGATCATTAGGAAACCTGCCCTGGGGAGGTTCAGGACTCTTACGAAAGTACATGACATGGGGCCTTGGCTTACAGGGCTATGTCATTTGTGGTCCTTCTGCAACATCCCTCCTGCTAACCTCTCTCTTGAGAGCAGCACCCACTCTCAGAGCCACAGCAAAGCTCAGCAGCCTTCCTATTTCTAGTTTCCTGTCTGCTGGTTTGCTGGTGGCAGGGTCCTTTATCACATTCCTAACTCTAAGCTCGCCTGCTTGTACTTCCTGATTCTTACAAGCTGGATACTGGAGGTGCAGAGCAGTGAAGACAGTGACCTGGGCTCACCCGGGGAGCTCCACGAGGGTCTTAATCTGAGCAAAATAGCTTCACCATGAGGCTCCATGGTGAAGGCTCAGTCCATTTGGCTAACCCTACCATTCAAGGAGATTCAGTTCTGATTCCAAGCTCCTCGTTGACCTCTTTTGACCTCTGTCTCCTTCACTAGGATACAAGGTGCACATAATCCATTTTCTAGCACCTGCCAAGGAATTCATTGACTAGTGAATTACCTCACACATCCACAAAGTGAAACATGCCTGATGGCTGTTTCTTAAGCCAGCTGGCTTCAGTACTCTGGCCCAGTCACGATGCTCACTTGCTGCCTTGTGCATTGAAAGCTCAAGACTTCTGCTCCCTGAACCCAACTCCATCACGTTATATCACTTTATATATACCACTCTGAGCTTCAGTTTTTCCATCTACCAACTGGGCGTGATGCCCTCCCTCCCTGCAGTGTCTCAGTGAGGGGAACTTTCCCTTGTCTGATGCATTAGCTTCTATAGCTTCTAAGAAGCCTTACTGGGTGCTTCTCCTGAGCTCCACTCTTCCATCTTCCTTCTTCCCTGGCAGTTCCTCCTCAGTCTGCATTCCCCTAAATTAGTATGAACCAAGGCATGAAGCTAGAGGGACTGAGAAGAAAGACTGGATTGTGAGAAAGCTAGCCCAGGACCCTTGGACTCTTCCACTAGGCCTGTGGGAAGGCACAAGAGGGTCTCAAGCAGCAGCAGCCTTGGTTTCATCAGTGCTTTGCAGAATCATGTCAGCTGTAGAGCATAGCATGATCAATCTAAAGAAAGACATGGGAAGAAGGGCTGGCTGGTGAGGAACCCGAGAGGTCCTTGGCAGGGGAATGATGTGAAGATCTAGAAGACATACCAACAGAGAGGATGGCAAGAGGAGCCAAGAAACTGAAGGAAGTCTGTGGTCTCAGCATCAGGAGGTAAGACTCAGGGGATAGGAGGGATGGTAAGCTGTATAGAACAACACGGAATTTTGTCCTTCCACCATGAAAAAAAATTGCTTAGGAAAAATCTGTAGCCTGCTATGTAAAGGTATTTAAAGAATGAGGGGTAATGAAAGATTAATGAGGGGTATAGTTGACAAAAGTTGAAGCAATGACAGTAGCTACCACAGGAGAGTCCACATTCTTACTACAGACACTTATGAAGTAGGTGCTGGACAAAAATAAGTAATGGAGAAGTAGAGGAGAAGAGAAGTTTTAGGATAACTTTGGAATGCGAGGGACAGGGAATACCCTTACCCAACATGGAAATATTTATAAGAAACTTAGTACCAAGTTAGGCCAAGTCAATTGACTTTTTCAAAGATTTATGATTAGTGTATAGGGGGGCAGGTGACAGTTTGGGGCGTGGTTCTCATGCCACAATATTAGTGTGAAAATCAAAGGAAAATTTTCTGGATTTAGTTCTCTCCTTACACAGAGCCACCTCAAGTCATCAGATTTATATGGCAAGCACTTACCCTGCTGAGGCATCCTATCAGCCTGAAGTTGATTAATTTTATCTTAAGTCCCAGAGAGAATATATTTGAGGACTTGTGGGTCATGTGCTCTTTAATGCTAGCTCCACCATTTAGTGCAAAAGCACCCAAAGATGACCCATGAGTAAGTGAGACTGGCTTTTTTCCAATAAACTTTTCTAGGGGCAAGAGAGGTGGCTCAGTGGTCAAGAGCACTGTCTGCTCTTCCAGAGGGCCTGGGCTCTGGAAGAGCCTGCACCCACATAGCAGTAACAGCTGTCATAACTCTAATACCAGGGAATCTAGTACACTCTTCTGGCCTATGTAGACAACACGTGCAGGCGATGCACAAACACACATGCAGGCAAAACACCCATACACATGAAATCAAAATAGAGGTTTTAAAAACTATTAACAAAGACAGAAGGCAGGCAGGCCTTAGATGGCAGCTTGCCAGTTCTTGTTCTTGGATATGCTACTTTAATGCGCATGTTGTATTCCAGTGGAAGTTCAGGACAAATCTGAGCTTAGGAGAGATATTCAGGTTAAAAAACAAGTCTAGGAAGCTGTCTTGAGTGTAGCTGGCCATCCAAGATGTTTGAGAAGTAGAAGAGAGAAAAGAGCAATGAACCCCAAATCTTCCTTCTTTAAGGTGTTTGCATCAGGTATTCTGTCACAGCAACAAAGTCTGAGTGATATAGTCTAGATCTTTAGAATGTGGCCTTAAGTAAAATATTTGCAGAAGATCATGATCAACTGAGTTAGGGGGCCCTACACTCTATCACTGGTACCTTACATGATGAGAGGGGATACATGGAGGAGAATGCCTAGAGATAAAGGTAGGGATGGGAGCATTGAAGCCAATCGAGGCCCAAGATTTCTAGGAAGTAGATGAACTAAAGAGGGGAAACCCTAAGGACCCCTTTACTCCAGGCCGTTCCTGTGGGGCTGAGCCCCTAGTTTGTGGTTGTTCTAAGACACACATATACCCTAGCTTCACTACTTCTAGGGTACTAAAATCTACTTTTAGGGTACTGAAAGCAGAGACAGTGTCCCCTCAGGTCAGTATTTTGACAAATGCCCTAGTGAGCATCTTCACTGTTAGGTTGTCAGGATATGGCATGTGGGCCAAAGCAGAAACTCACTTGAGACAGCCTGCAGGGCCTGATGTAAAATGTCCACCTACCGAGATGCTAAGTCCCACAGCTGGAACTGAAGTAATCTCCAAAGCCATTTTGATGACACTACAAATCCATTTCTAACTTACTTTTTGTTTTTTTGAGATAGGTCTAATTTAGCTTTAAATTCAACATGTAGCCAAGGATGGCCTTGAACTTCTAAACCTCCCTTCCACTTCTTCCCTTTCCCCCAGTGCTATGAGTCAGGCTTGCACTATATTATCCAGTTTACATTCAGCTTGGGGTGAAACCCAGTGCTTTGTGCATACAAGGCAAAAATTCTACCTACTGTGCCACATCCCAAGCCACATTTAAAAATCATTTGAAAATGCTACTCATTAATGATCCAATAATGTTACTTCTAGTTCATCTTTATAAAGAAAGACAGAAATTCAAATGAAGGTTTAGCTCCTTAGGATGTTGACCATGCTCTTATTTATAGTGTGAGAAAATGTAGGGACAGTTTAAATGTCCAGTGGTGAAGTGATAGTAAAACAGATGACAGTATGTCCACAAGATGGAGTATTAAGCAGCCATTATAATATTTATGAAGAGTATTTAATGTTAACAAAGAGCTTTTAATGATATAGGGGAGAGGGGCATAGGAGGAGAAGAGGGAAGAAGAGTGGGACTTGGAGGAAACTAGGGAGGGGGCTACAGCTGGCATACAAAGTGAATAAATTGTAATAAATAAAATGATATAGGAGGAGCCTAAGTAGCATAATAATAACTGAAAAAAAAAGCTGGATGTAAAATATTTCGATATGGGGCTGGAGAGATGGCTAGAAGTTAAGAGCTCTTTTTCCAACGGTCCTGAGTTCAATTCCCAGCATCCACATGGTGGCCCACATGTGGCTCATATCTATAATGAAATATGGTACCCTCTTCTGCCCCATAAGCACACATGCAGGCACACATAATAAATAAATCTTAAAAATAAGTTTCAATATGATGCAAATCATGACAACAGACATGTATGAAAAGATTTAAGGAAATATATCAAAATGATCACCAGGAAAGTTGTGAGTGGTTAAATATTTTATATACTTTTAGTACTTTAAAATGATTTTTGAAATTTATTTATTTATATTTTCTTTTTATGTATGAGTACTCTGTCTGCATGCCAGAAGAGGGACTCAGATCCTTTTATAGATGTCGTGAGCCACCATATGGTTGCTGGGAACTGAACTCAGGACCTTGGAAGGCCAGCCAGTGTTAACTGCTGAGTCATCTCACCAGCCTTAAAGTGATTTCCTATGTACATGAGTTATGTCCATAATCAAGAAAAAGGTAAGAACTTATAAGATGCTGTGTGTGTTTTTCATTTTTATTTTCTCTTACGGATAATTTGCACATCAGCAGATCTTGACTGGTGCTAACTACTTAGGCCAGTCATATCACACATACACGCACAGAGGTCACACAGCCTGTGTCAGGCTGGCTGTGGCAAATGTACATCAAGTTACACAGGAGGAATGTGGGGGCTGGTTCAAACACGCCACCAGACAATGGGACACAGTTGGATCAGGCTTCCTCTCCTGCCTGCCAATTGTTCTTTACAGAGATGTATGTTGCGCAGCAGGGTGACCTCCCGCTTGTACTTCCGTGCAGCAGCCCTCAGTGGGTAAAAAGGATATGGGTTGGCATCTTTTCTGGGTCCCTTTCTTATCCACTCTGGCCTTGACATTGGCACCTGAAGTTCTCTGCTACCTGGTCCGCTAAGCACTGGATCTGCTCTTGGCCACTCCTCCCCACCCTGCTCCATTGTGGGCTGGACATGGCAAATTAAGGAAGAGCCTGGATCTTGGCAAATACACACCTGATATCAACTGTGCCCAGACACAGAATGGGAGGGAGCAGGAGGTGTAAACCCAACACCTTCAGACAAGCCAGTATCTCTACGAAAGTGATTGCAATGGAGCCTAAAACATGTGTAGGCTGTGTGGAACCCTGCAGGTGGTAGTCTCTGGGAGAAGACAAACAGGGAACAGGACTTGTATCTGACAGCAAAGCTGGAGGGTAGATGAGGAAGGGGTCCAACTGGTGCTAGATTATTTAAATTCACGGCTATACACACCTGGGGATTATGCCCCTTTCCCAGTTCGTTCGCATGATAGGTTAGAAACGCCTAGAAAAAAATGAAGGTATACTATTTAAAGGGGGGGGGGGGCTTTCTTGGTGGCTAGATAAAGGATGAGACAGAATCCTGGATTGGGCATGCTCTGGGGAGGGCCATGCGACGGTGAGGGGCTCTCTATTGCTACACTCTGTACAGCAGTGGCTGGACCCACCTGCCAGGTGCCCACAGCTGCTAATAGCAGTCATGGGCTTGCCTTCAACCCCTTCTGCCTTGGAAAGCTCTTGGACCCCTGTGAAATGGGAGCTATGAGGATAAGAGGGTGGGAGGGAGGGTCCCCATGGTTCCAGGACACCCCACATAGGGGCTACATGATGTTGCACTGGGTGGCCCCACAGCAATCCTTGATGAGTGCCAACCCTGTCTTGGCCACTGTTGGCTTGCTAGGTGGGGGCTCTGCCTTCTTCTCTGCCCGGGAGCCTGCAGCAATAGAAAAGCAGAGGGAGAAAGAGAGAAGGGTAAGGAAACAAAACCCTTGACTCATTGGTAGTCCAAACCAAACCCAACCCTCAGCTAGGCCTTGTCCTGGCAGTGTGGAAAATGGCTATGCATTTTCTGGACCCTCTTGTCATTCATTCTTTAGGTTCCAAGTGTAACATTAGTCTCACCCTAGTCAGTTCTTCTCATCATGTTATCTTCTAGGCCTAGCACAGGATATATGGAAAATTTTGTTTAAGGCACTTCAACCTGAGGGTTCATACCTTTCAATTTAGGAAAATGTTCTACTGGTCATCTTCTTCTATTTTGTCTCCCTCAGAATACCTATTAGAGGTAAGTTAAACCTTGTCATCCTGTCTTCTCTGTTTGTAGAAGCTGTTGTATTTTCCACTGTTTGTTGTTTGTTCAGATTAATGAATAATTTCCTCAAGTCTGCCTTCCATTTTATAAAGCACGCTTTCAACTGTGTCTCCTTATTCAATCCATTTAATTTTTTTTCCAGTGGTACTTTTATTAGTGATTAATGTTTTTTACAAGTCTGTTTATCCTTTTTCATACTATCATTCTATTTCATCTTGGGTTTTTGTTCCTTACCTCTTTAATAATTTCAATATGCTTAGACTTGTTTCCTTAAAATAGTTCCCTTTTTAAAGTAAATGTTTTTTTTTTTGTTTTTTTTTTTTTTTTTTTTTTTTTTTGTTTTTTTTTGGCTTGGTTTGTTTTGTTTTTGAGATGGAGTTTTTCTATTTAACCCTGGCTGTCTCAGAACTCTGTAGACTGGGCTGGCCTTGAGCTCACCTGCTTCTGCCTCCTGAGTGTTTGGATTAAAGGCATGTGCCACCACTGTGCACACATATAATGGGGGGGGGTGTGCATGTGTGTAGAGGGTGGAGGACAACTTTGTGGATTTTTCTTTCACTTTTACATGGGTGCTGGAGATCAAACTCAGATTGTCAGGCTATGTAGCCAATGTCTTTATCCACTGAGTCCTCTCACTGGCCCCTGATAGTTCTCTTCCATCAGGTTCTTGGGAAGTAATTTTCTTTGTTGCATTTACTGACTCTAATCATGGTGATTCAGTTTTTCATGGGTTTTAAATTTTTACTATGAGATAATCTTCCTGAAGGTTGTTACAAATTGAAGGCTGCATGCATGTGAAATGTATGCCCATTTTGAGAATTTCTACAAGCCCAGTTTTTTGTGCCAACTGTTAATGACCTGTAAAAACAAAGTTGTTAAGTATGGAGAATCAGAAGGCCTCCCTTATATTGGACATTAAAACCACCAGGCACACAGCCCTGCCTAAAGTCAGATTCCTCATAGGCTGGTCTCTTCTATAAAATGTCAGATAGAAAGACTCTACCTAGTAGCATGGTGAGAGGGCACAAACATGTTCTTCTATATAGGGGCATAGATAAATTATTCTAACAAAAAATCAAAACACCAAATGTACACCACTTGCAAGGGGCCTGATATGAGGCCCAATTTCCACCTCTTGATTTGGTCCCCAAGATAAAAAAAATAAAAATTAGTATAAAGGATCAGTCTACACCTGAAATGTATGTGTTTAGATACAAGGTGTGAATACTGGTCTTGGATGTCAACTTGACTACATCTGGAATTAACTAAAACCCAGATACCTGGGCACACCTATGAGGGAATTTTTCTTTATTAAATCATTTGAAGTGGGAAGATCTACTTCTATTCCAGATCTTTGGAGTGGGAAGATATACCTTTAATCCATATCTTTTGAAGTAGGAATATTCATTTTTGATCTGGTTCACACCTTCTATGGAAGCCTATATAAAGGACATAGAAGAATAAAGCTTGCTGTCTCTCTCTGACTGTTTTATTGCTCTCAATAGCAACTCCATTCCTTCAGTAACATTAGAGCTTACTTCTGTATTCCAGCATATGCTGAAGACCACATGAGGTGGACTGCACAGCTATTGGATTCTTGAACCTTTCATTGGTAGACAGCCATTATTGGACTAGCTGGACTACAGACTGCTGTAAGCCATTTAAATGCCATATATATATATAGATATAGATTTTTATATATGAATTTATGAATCTATATGATATAGATTATAGAATGATTCATTCTATAATTTCTGTTCATCTAGAGAACCCTAATACACAAGAAAGAGTCTGACATTACCTTGGAGTTGGCAAGCTATGGTTCTAAGGTTCTGGCTCATGGAGAAAGCCTGTTTATTAGAGTATGATGGTTCATATAAATTTTCAAGTTGACTGAATTGAGAATTGCCTAATCAGTAAAACAAACCTCTGGGTATGTCTGTGGTGGTATACCACAGAAGGTTAGAATGTGAAGCTTTGTCCTAATCAAAGGAGTCATCCCTTGAAGGATTCTTAATATGATGGCATCACTAGAGGTGGAAGAAGGTAGAGGATCCCACTTGGGGAAGTGAGTTACTGGGGCATGCCTTTGGAGGATATATTTTATTCTGGTCCCTTCCTATGATCTTTTCTGATTCCTAGATATGTCAACTGCTTTTCTCTATCATGCTCCCTCCATCATGGTGGACTGACCCCTCTGAAAGTAGGAGCTCAAATAAACCTTTCTTCCTTCAAGTTGTTCTTGCAGGTTCAGTACACAGGGACAATGGAGGTAGTGTACAAGTACATGAGCTATGGGAAGAAAGAAAGGCAGGTCTAAAAGTGCTGTGCCCTTGAGGCCTAAGTTTTTGGTTTTTCTCCAACAACTCCTCCCCATTTTTTGCTTAGTCTAAATTTAATTGGATATATATATATATATATGTATATATATATATACACATATATATGTGTGTGTATATATATATACACATATATATGTGTGTGTATATATATACATATATATATGTGTGTGTATATACATATATATATATATATATATATATATATATATATATATATATATATATATATATTGATACAGGGTCTCAGTATGTAACCCTGGCTGGCCTGGAACTCTCTATGCAGACCAGGCTGGCCCCAAACAAGGATCCACTTGTTTATGCTTCCCAAGTACTGAGATTAAAGATGTACACCAATGTCCAAGGATATCCACTTAAAACTGAAAGAGACCTCACTAATGAGAAGTTAGAAGTATCTGCCAAACACTGCATCAAAAAAGAGAACAGGATCCCTGATGACTGTAACATCTGGGTGGACGTGAGGTACTCTAAAACTTGTCTCATGCAAAGCACTTTCTGCTCTGGGTGTCTCATAAAGTTAATAATATTTTCAGAATTGTGTTTCTGCTCTTCCAGGTTCCAGTCCTAATAGCAGCTGGAGCTTCTGAAGGCCACAGTAACCATCCAGTTCCTTTCATGGAAAATACCAAATTGGGACTATGGAAGAAAAGCTGCTGGCTGACCAGCTGCTTACACTTGGAAAATAACAGCACAAGGCTCCTGGTACCAAATTTACTAAGAGTTTCAAGACTGTTATATCAAAACATTAACTGAAGCATGGAGCATGTCAGGACATTGTAGGCATAAGGTTATTGGTAATTCAAATGCTGACTTCTTTATCCCCCCGTATCTGTTTGTAAGCCTTGTTCTGAGAATCTCAGTCTCAATGTTTGTATAAACTCTGTCCCCCAATGGTCCCCTGAAATGTCAATAAAGCAGCTTACAGCCAATCACTGAGCAGGGAAGAGAATAGGGCTGGACTTCCTGTCAGCCAGGGGAGGATGAGTTAGAGGAGAGGAAGCAGGGAATTCAGCCAAGGGATTCAGCCATGGGCAGAGGTCCAAGAGACACCAGGAGAGAGAGCTCATGGGCAAAGCTACAAAGTGCAAGTACCCTGGGAGGAAGCCAAATTAGCTTAGAGGGTTAAGAGTAGAGTAATAACAGTTCAGTTATTGTGTTCTGAAGCTTATTATTAAACAAATATAAGAGTCTCAATTATTTATATGATAACCGGGTTAAGAGAGAAACAAAGCTTTTTTAAAAAGTTATGTAAGAGTAACTATAACAGGGAATGGTCAGGGAAACTGCATGATCTGCAGACCCATGAGCCTCTCACCCTGCCTTGTTTGAAATCTGTCTTTTATAAGGAAGGAGGGAAAACCATGCAGGCACTCACTGGCTGAAGACTTGATTACTTTGTCTAGAGGTTTTAACTTGATCCTCAGGAAATCAGCCATTTCTTTGTCTTCTTCCTGTTCCCTGGGAAGATGGTCATGTAGAAGAGAGGAGGGAAATAAAGTCAGCAAGGAAAATGTCAATGAAACTCATAAAGAGGCTAAGTGTAGGGAGAAACATGTTGGCTTTGTGAGTGGTATGGATATGTTATTGTGTGACTTATATACACAGCACATGATTTTGTGTTAGATGAACCCTGTATCTAATGAAGACCCACCACTGTATAAATCCTGGCCCAGAGCTAGAGTGACACATCGAGGCAGAAACAAGGGCATTCTAGTCCCTAGGCACATTGCTGGAGTTCAGTGAAACAGGAAGCATCCCTGTGCCTTCAAGCTAGCTCAGACACCCTGACTCTCACAAGATTCAGGGTCCATCTCAGAGAGAAAGTCACCTCTGCCTTCAAGGTTGCAGGGAATAAAATGGGTTTTGTACAGCCTAGGTAACTCTGGTGAAGTCCTCAGAGAACAGAGATGATGAAGGGGAAGTTGCTCTCTTCATGGAGAGACTTGAAAGGTTTTGTCCTGGGATGAAAATATCCAATACACACAGCTACACCCAGGCCTGGCATCCTTGGGGGCCTCTAGCACAGCTCCAGAGCCAGGGTCACTCCAGGACAAGATTGGCAGATTCAAATAGGAAACTGCAAGTGGGGAAGGAAAGCACAAACTTGGGAACTTGGGAGAAGCTGTCATAGGGGCAGGGTTTTTTTTTTTTTTTATGTTGACAGAAGTTTTGAGAGTTGCTTTGTTGCATACAGAGGATATATAGGGCGCTTTGTCCTCTATCACATGATGTCATTCCTTCCTCCCACCTGCCTAAATGGCAATCAGCTAAGATACATAGGACTTTGCAAGATTTTGGAGGATGAAATGGTTTTTCTCTTGAATATGAAATGGGTTCTGAGGTCAGAAGGGTTTTGTGTCAGGGGAGCAGTGGCAGAGGCCATGCCTGTTTGGCAAGGCCATACATCCTTGGAGCAGACAGTGGGTTTGTGGGGTGGTGCAGGGAGTACAGGCTTAGAATCTAATGGCCTAGAGCCCACCTTAACCGTTCCACTTCAGCATCATCCACCAGGAAGTCTCTCTTCTGCACCAGTCTGTGGATCTTCTGGATTAACTCATCCTCTCTCTGCTTCTGCAGCTTGGTTTTTTCTTTTTCTGGGAGGAAAATAACAGTGGAGCAGCTATGATGATGCATGTCTGCAGCCCCAGCACTCAGGAGGTTGAGGCAGGAGATTTTTAGTTTGAAGCTAGTGTGGGACATGAAACCCTTTCTCAACAGAGCAAAACAGGCAGTGATTATAAGAGGTGGAAACACTGAGTCTGAGGGGCAGGATTGAACACGTGGCTTCCCTACTTCGTTTACTGTGTGAACTTGAAGAGGCAACATGACCTCTTATATGTTTATTTATGTGTGTAAATGTGTCTGTGTGTTCATTCATGTGTGTGCAATCAGGTAGAGGCTAGTGATCAACATTGGGTGCTAGATAGTTTTATGTTAACTTGATAAAAAACAAAAGTCACCTGAGAGAGGGAATGAGAGTTAAGAAAATGCCTCCATAAGACCCCACTGTAGGCAAGCCTGGGGGGCATTTTCTTAATTAGTGATTGATGTGGGAAGGCCTAGCCCATGGTGGGTGGGGCCATGTGTGGGCTGACTGAGCAAGCCATGTGTAGCAAGCCAGTAAGCATCACTTCTCTGTGGCCTTTGCATCAGCTCCTGTCTCCAGGCTTCTGCCCTATTTGAGTTCCTGTTCTGACTTCGTTTGATGATGAACAATGCTATAGAAGTGTAAGCCAAATAAACCCCTTTCTCTGCAAGCTTCTTTGCTCATAGTGTTTCATCATAGCAATAGTAACCCTAACTAGGACAGGTGTTGTTCCTCAGATTCTAGCTACCATTTGTGGTTTGTTTGCTTTGTTTTTGTTTTTATTTGGGGAGATGTTGATTTTAGAGACAGAGTCTTGCTATATGGCCCTGGCAGTCCTGGAACTCACTATGTAGACCAGGATGGCCTGCCTCCTAAAGGCATGCACCGTCATACCCAGATTTGTTTTTTTATCGTTTATTACTTTTTATGTGTATGTGTGTGTGTGTGTGTGTGTGTATCATGTGCCTGCAGGCATTTGCAGAGATGACAAGAAGGCCTCTGATGGCCATGGAGCTATTGTGAACTGCTCTTACAAGTTTGGGAACAGAATCTAAGTCCTCTGGAAAAACAGTTAAGTGCGCTTAACTGCTGAGGTGGTAACCTCTTAACCTATCAGATGACTTTTGTTTTTTTTTTTTATCAAGTTAACATCTCTCCATTCCCCACTTTTATTTTTAGACAGGGTCTCCTCTTGTGTCTGCCACCTTAGCACTGAGATCACAAGCACAAGTTACAATGCCTGGCACACCAATGTGGGCTTGTGCATGTACATTCTAGAGATTAATGCAAGTCCTCATGTTTGAAAGGCAAGCATTTTACCAATTGGGCCTTCTCCCTAGCCCTATGCCATTTTATGGAAGGAACATGTATAAAATGGACTGTTAGCTATGATGTTGCCCACAGGTGTAATGCCAGCACTTGGAAAGTTGAAGCAGGAGGACCATGAGCTTGAGGTCAGCCTGTTTCAAACAAACAAACAACCACACAAACTACAACTTCAGGGTTTTTGTTTGCTTGTTTTTGATTTATTGCAGAGCCTCCTGCAAGCAGCCTTCCATGGGCAGTGAAGGACAGTTCTCACCTCTAATCCTGTTTCCAAATCTCAAAGAACTTGTCACTGCCCATCCCTGGACTGCAAATGGGCAAGCTGCTGCTTATTTTGATCTGTAGAGATCTGTACAGTGGGAGCCTACAGTGGCTTTAAGATTTTTACCTCGTAGTTTTCTTAGTTCTCATCTTCAGCACTTTTTCTCCCTCCCTCCCTTCCTCCTTCCTTATTTGCAACAAGGCTGTCCTTAGCAGAGGAACCCATTAATCCTCAACATAGAACAGATCCCCACTGTCCCCTCCAACCTAAATCCTTGGCCACCTCCTGCCTTAGGACCTACTGCTGAGTCACTGATGTTTTTCTGTGTTCCCTTCAGGGTTGTCACAGAGACATATGATAGGGTGAATACTCAGTATTCAATAAATGTAATGTCCCTCCCACATCCTGTGTCAACAAAAGCAGGGGTCTTGCTTTGCAGGCCTTGAAGCTAAAGTGTAATCTAGGTTGGTCTGTGGACATGCATTCAATTCTCTTGGTGTTTTGTTTTGCTAATGTGACTGCATTGTGGGTCTTCTGTGTATTTTACAGGTGAGGAAACAGAGGTCTGGAAAAGTCATGATATAGGGTCTGAGAGATGGCTCAGTTAGTAAACTGCTTGCCTTTCAAACCTGAGGACCTGCATTCAATCCCCACTACTCAAAAAACAAAACAAAACAGGCATAGTTATAATCTTAGTGCTGGTAAAGTGGAGACAAACAGATCCTTGGATTTCAATGGCCATTCAGTCTGGGCAACTGCAAGACTTTCTCAAGGGAGGTGGACACTGTTCCTGGAGATCAGACACATAGCTGTGTGCACTGACACACAGTATTTACATGTCTTAGGGTTTCTATTGCTGTGACAAAACACCATGACCAAAAAGGAAGTTGGGGAGAAAAGAGTGTGTTAGCCTTACACTTTCACCTTTCTGTTCATCACAAAAGGAAGTCAGGACAAAACCCCAAACAGGGCAGAAATCTGGAGGCAGGATCTGATGAATAGGCCATGGAGAAATGCTGCTTACTGGCTTGCTCTTCATGGCTTTCTCAGCCTGCTTTCTTGTAGAACCCAGGACCACCAGCCCAGGAATGGCCCCACCCACAAGGGGCTGGTCCCTCCCCATGGTCACTAATTGGAAAAATGCCTTACAGCTGAATCTCATGGAGGCATTTCCTCAACTGAGGCTCCTTCCTCTGTGATGACTCTAGCTTGTATCAAGTTGACACAAAACCAGCTAATAAAACATAGGGCCCTGTATATGTTAAGCCTGTAACATGGAACACAATGCAAACATTAAGTAAAGAGTTGTTATTTGTATCCTGTAGAGATCCTAACAAGAAAAAGGTCAGTGCCACTTTCAGTATAGATATTATTTTTCCAGGGGTATTTTTAGTCCATGCATACCTGAATCTGAATGTAAACCCCACAAGACACTTTGAATTGTCTAGAAGGTAAGGCAAGTTAAATCTTTCTTATTGACCTAAATGCCACCACTACCCCTGTGGCAAGCATGGATGATCTACAGCCATTGGTACCTATCATCCATTGGATGAAGGTGCTTAGCTTCTGTGGGTGAGGCCCAGGTGTGAGTCCCTAGACCACATATTGCACTACAGAGCCCTCCCTGCCTTGTTCTCCAGGGGAGCACCAGCACCCATGGACTCTCATGAGGAGTCTGGGGCACAGCTACAGCCCTCCAGACCTTAGCTAGAGCCACCTGATGACTTCCAGATGTGCTAGGCTTCTGACAAACAGCTGTCCTGGGGTTGCTCACCTACATTTTCCAGTTCTCCTTTAGCTAAGCACACCCAGGCTGTCCTGCATTCCCAGCCATAGTACTTCCAGCCACCCAGGGAAGCCTCCTCAGACGTACTCTATGTAACCTTAACAACCAGCACCGACCCAAGTCTCCAAGCTGTGGCCCATGCTCTTTATTCACCCATCACACCCTTCTTATCAACAGTGCTCACCTGCCCACTGCTGCTTGCCAACATTACTCCACCTAGCAGTGTCAGGTCCCAAAGGAACTCAGGACAAATGGCTAACTGAGGTGCCTATGAGGTGCCTATTAACACATCAAAGTAGACACTGGCCACCAGGTTCTCCCAGCATCACAAGTACTGTTGCAGAGCCCTGGACCCTAACCCCAACCCCCTACCCTAAACCTCTCCAGCGTAGGGACTGGGTTTTGCTTTCCTTCTTCCAGCTTCTCCTTTTCCATATAACTCAGTCATTTGAGCCATGTGATCTCTTGGTTCCCATGGGCTCTCTTGGTCCTCTTGGCCCCTTCTCCTTCTCTCTTCCTCTCTTGTACCACCTCTCATGGCCCCATCTATTTTGATGGCCATGTTCAGTCTGGACTCCTCCAGATGCCTCTGGCTGTACTCTCCCTTATATCTACAATAAAAACCTCCTCCTCAACCATACATAGGAGCATCATGTCCTCATATTCATTCATCTGGTGCTCGAAACCCGGAGTGGCTCCCTTCCAAGAGACCAAACCAAGCTGATAGTTGTACTTGTTGTGTTTCAGACCTGGGACAAGTGGCTGTGGTGCATATTTAATACACCGAAGTGGACCTGTCCTCCAGGTTCTTCCAGCATCCCTCAGTCTCTACCCCTTATGGGGCATGGCTGGCATACCTTACCCTCTACCCTGAACTTTCCAGCCCAGGGGCTAGGGTTTCCTTTATAATCCAAGCATTTTGGTTCCCTCCCTCTCTTCACATTTTCTCTCTCCCCGAATGCTCATGTTCTTTCTTTTCCCCCTCTGTCTTCCTCCCCATGGCGATTACTCTGGCCTTGTTCCTTGGGACCAGTGAACCTGTCTGTCCATCTTAAGTTTGAGGCCAGCCTGGTTTACAAAGAGGGTCCCCAGGACAGCCAAGGCTATAACAGAGAAACTCTGTCTTGAAAACAAAACAAACAAACAAATAATCCTCAATAAACTCTTTAACTCAAAAGTTTAAGGCACAAACTTTGTAAATTCTTTTCTTTCTTTTTTGTTTTGTTTTGTTTTTTAGGACAGGGTTTCTCTGTGTAGCAGCCCTGGCTGTCCTGGAATTTGCTTTGTAGTCCTCAATCACCTGCCTCTGTCTTCCAAGTGCTGTGATTAAGAGCATAAAACTACTAACTTATTGTAAATGATTACAGATAATTAAGACATGCAAATTAATGGTCAGCCACCTTATAAATGGTCAGATTTTTTAATGTGCCCAGAACTGTGCTCATAGTCATGTTATATGCAACTGTAATTCATTTACAGGGACAAGCTTTAATTTTCAAGGTTAAGCCTAAAGCAAGTAACTAAAAATAAGTAAAGAGATCTGGCTGAATATGACATTTAGTTTTTAATGGAAAAAGTTTCCTATGATAGACATAAATGTCAGCTCTGTTTAGAGGTGACATTCATTCACATG